AGTAGATTCCTTCGAAGAAATGTTAATAGCTTTCCGCCGTCTGTACAGTTAGCAATTGGAGAAGAACTCCCAGAAATTTTCGATAGGGAGGATGGCGTAGTTCCAACTGTTAAGTGGGTTATTATTGACAGTATCAAGTATAAGGTGCATGACGTTTTTGTTTGGACTTTACTAGGAGGGGAGGAATTACCGATCTTCGTTGAAATATGCTATATAATCAACTTCGACCTTCAGTGGAAGTTTTTGGCTAAATGTTTACAAACTATTGCATTCAACGAGAATCTCTGGGCCTATGAAGTCGAAGATTCGAACGAATTTACAATTATTCATGCTGACGAGTTTTTAACGCACAGAGGAGAAAATATTTTTATTTTTAATTACGCTAGATACGTGAGAGTGCCTTTTCGAATGACTAATCCACTGGAATAGGCTTGCTCTTTTTTAAGAAAAAGAAGGTATTTACCAAAGAGATACGTGCGGCAAATAAGAATCACTCTGGTACTTGTCCATTTTATGGCAATGTACGAATGAAGCCGGAAGGGTCACCTATAGCAACTAGTTTGCTATAAGTGTGGCGTAACGTTAAGTCTCACCAGTCGTTTAAATTGCCTTCTTCTAGCTTTTTTAGAAGGAACTAGCTGCTGTGACTGTTTTTGACAAGATACTGTTAACATTAATTAAATTTCTACTAATCGTTTCTTTTCTACGAAAATATCGTCCCATTCACACCCACACTACGAGAAAGTAGCTTCATTCTTTCGTATACCGGCTACTTTTTTTGATTGTAAATAATGTACTGAATTTTTTTAAGAAATATTCTTGCGTTGAAACTATTTTTTACGTGTACTTTTATATCTGATATCACTTTATTTTACTGTTATACCTTTTTATATCTGAAATACACTGGATGAACGGAACGAACGGATGAGATAAGTATTTCTGTTTGCGTTTTTGCCGTTTCTTTCTTGAGTCATACGATTTGAATCTCAAAAACCGCTTTTTTATTTGGTGCGATTTTTGTTTTTACTATAACTATTGAACGGAGCGATAGTTTCTGAGAAAAAAAAGGTGTGCTTCAGATAAAAAGTCTCTACTTTATATGTTGACTATTTCAAATGGACACAACTTTCTGCTTCACTAAGTCGCCTGTTCTTACTAAGTGACGGGTATCTTCGTAAAGTTTTAGATTTAATTCAAAATGAATACTTGGTCGTTAGAAGAAGTAGGGGTATGGCTAGCAGGTAGCGGTTTTGAAAAATATGTTGATTATTTTGCCAGTAAGTACTAATTCTGTTGCTTCCAATTGCAGTCACTATGTTTATGATTATAACTTTTTAGAAGAGCAAATCGATGGTCAGTCGTTGTCATCGCTTTCGGAATCAGATATCAATGAACTTTTAGCAATGGGATCAGAAGCAAAAGCAACGATTGGAATTAAATCAAAGTTTCGAGCACAATTGGATTTAATAAGAAATTTTGCGTAGGTGTAGGAGTTTTAACGCAACTAGACTATAGTCCGAAAACACATGAACTTCCTCTCTTTTCCTCATTACACTATGTTTTAATTTATCACTCTGTTCATAGTCCCAAAGATGGTGATATTGAAGAGCTGAGCCGTTTTCTAGAAGAACAGGCATCACAAAGTAGTATTCAACCATCTTCTCCCACTCGAAGTGCCAGTCTGGTGTGTGGTCTCTCGACAACACCTAAACGAGATCGTGAAGCAGTAGATAATTTTGCTGATACGGAAGAATATTCTATTCCAGGTACGATACTGTACTTATACACTCTTAATCGCATGTGCTTTCACGAATTTGTCGTCATTTTTAAAACTAAGGTATACGTACTAATATACGTACTAATAAAAATTTTCCATTAGTATACACTATTCCGAAAGTAGATCCATCCTTCAAAGCGGCTATTCTTAATCCTACACCACACGAGTTTAGACCCCGCTGCTCTAAAAGAGTGTTTTTGATGAAAATTATTCATGATGATATTGTGCACAGCTATGGTGCTGATTTTTACCCAACAACAGTTCATTTTGAGAGGATAGTTAAATCCGTATAAGACAAGTGGCCATCGTTGAAAGAAATATTTGGTCCAGATATGGTGAGCGATAGATTTCACATTTAATGAATAGTACAGCAGAGTCTGAGAGTCTGCTTTTAGTATATTCAACATCATGTATATTCAAAATTTGATGTTTTTAGAGTTTGTTTAACGTTGGGTTAAAGCAAATGTTTAGTCGTGAACGTCGTCGTTGTCTTTCACTACATGCATTGGTTATGAGAAAGCGCGAGGTTTATGGTCATGAGAGTGCAGGACGACCGTTAAAAGTTATGAAAATGGACAAAGCCGGCCGAAAGGTGATAGTGGAAATCGTTTGACATGTATAGGACTGCATGAACGCATGCATTTCGTCTCTATTTGATTATTATTATTTCGAACTTGAAACGTTTTTTTAGCTGAAGTTCATGTCTATTGATTTAAATGTGGACAGGAACTTTCAGCTAACTGACAGTTCAGTTCAGTTTTACTTCTTATTTCATGTACTCTCAAGAAAATATATGTTTCTTATTATATTACCATTTCAGAACAGTGAATTAGATAAGTATTGCNTATAGGACTGCATGAACGCATGCATTTCGTCTCTATTTGATTATTATTATTTCGAACTTGAAACGTTTTTTTAGCTGAAGTTCATGTCTATTGATTTAAATGTGGACAGGAACTTTCAGCTAACTGACAGTTCAGTTCAGTTTTACTTCTTATTTCATGTACTCTCAAGAAAATATATGTTTCTTATTATATTACCATTTCAGAACAGTGAATTAGATAAGTATTGCTGCTATTCTTTTATTTTCGATGCTTTGTGGTGTCTTTTGTTTTCTATTTTAGGCTAGTTTCCAGTGGGAAATGCCTGCTTTTATTCTACCCTGTTTTATTTTTATTCTTTTTCTTCTAATTGTATACTTTATAGCCTTATCTACGTAATGAAAATGAACAACCAATTGACGATTTAATGATGATTGAACAACATCGTCTTGAAATGAAACAATTAATTGTTTCAAACTATGATATCAGTTTATTTAAATTTAAGTTTGATATTACATATTCACATCGACGCCAGATGATAAGAAAAAATGAATTGGTTAAAAATATGATTGAATCTTATCCTGGCTTAACGATTCTCAGTCTTGTACGTACCTTAGCTATATGCTCTCAGTGAGTTCCTTTCTTCAGCAGATTCTGACCTTTTCTTTTCTCAGAGACATTCATCTCTTTGCCAATTTAAAATGTTGCCGACGATGGGCTTTTGACAAAGAGATGACGGCACTCTAGAATACTTACATCGCCAGGAATTACTCGAAAGACACGCTATCCTCTCTCGCTTGAGAAATCGAGTTCTGTTGTAACACTACCGTTGCTTTGCAGCTACTTTCTAACATCATTTTCGTCTTCTGCAGTTAGTAAAAGATGCACAGCGTTCAACCTTTCCCTATCAAGACGATTTTATGAAAGGTATTCAATTACGTTTTAAACAATTGGCCAATGGTATTGGTGGAAAACTTAGTTTAGCTTTGCAAAAAGAAAAGATTGACGAAGGTGAGATTAGTAGGCTTTTTTAAAGTGTAGTTGTCCCCCTACTTCACAGATGTTCTTTGCACATGTTCATAATTTAGATGACTTGTATTTTGCAATAATTGAATTTATTATGATCCGCTTTAAAGAGCCGAAACGACTATTATTCAATCGTGTATGTAATCTTCTACTATACTTTACATTTCCGAGACAACTTACACTCTCTTCTCTCCTCATTTCATACTATAGGAACCATTAACACCATTTCCTACACTATCGACTGAAATAATGAACAATTCTCGTAATTATACTCTGTTTGTCGAAGGAGTCAAATTATTTACGACTGATAATCAATGTGCTGCTGTTGCCGGATTTTTAGCAACATACGAAGTATTTAATCTGAGCTATCCGAACAATATAAGAGATACTCTACATACATTGAATGGTCTGGTATTTAAAACACGTGATTTTGATTTGTGTCGTGGTGCACAACGTTTTCTTCATAGTGTGAGTTCAAAGAATTTTCGTTTACTTGTGGCAGGAGAAAATAAATCTGAAAATGTGGATGCAAAGAAGAGGTTTTTGGCCTGCTATCAGTGATAATCCATCACATTAGATATTCAATGCCGAGATCCGAGCTCATTCTTTTTCTAATTTAAAATTTTGCCGATGATGGGCTTTTAGAAAAAGATTGAGCTTGTTTGATGCAGAACGGAAAATGCTGCTCTTGCTCTCTTTCCTTTTCCCGACCTTATCAATTGCTGCGTCACGGCAAACATGACCGAAACGCCTCTCTGTCATGGTCCCCTTTCTGCTGTCTCAAATGATTTCTGTCAGACTACAAAAATGCATTCACTTTCGCATGACTGCGCCTTTTGTGATATAGACGGTCATTTCTTGCCCTACACTTTCGGAGAGCACGTAACTGTGAATAATTGAGGCACACGAAGTACTATCTCATCCCAATAATCATCTCGTTTTTTCTGCATTTAGTATCTTCCAATAAATTAACTGGCTCGATCATTCACTCAAAGATATTTTCATTTAGTTCCCAGTTACTTTTGTTCCCATTTCTAATTTTATTTTTTTTTTGAAAGATATCACATGAAAATATATACAATGAACAGGAGTAAGCCTTTAATTTATTTTCAACTTCCAAGGTCGGAAGATATAAACTCTTATTGGAGAACTTTTCTCTCTGTCCCCTCGACTTTCCAAGTCGGTTCTTCTTGGTCGATATGCAACAGGTTCTACTTCATTGAAATTAAATTAAAACTGCCCATTACAATTTCGGCGGTTTTAATTTGCAGAGAGGTGGGAAGGAACGCTGGCTGGAAAATTATTTATGGAAATTCAAGGGCGATTTTCTAACAAACTGGAAATTCAATGAGGAATTTCCAGATTCTTGAAAATTATTTATGGAAATTCAACGGCGATTTTCTAGATTGTTGGAAATTCGATTTTCTATAAACT